AAGAGTTTGTTTCTCTCCGGTTTCTCCGACCACCACTTGACAATCCTCGCCATTTCCTTACACTTTCTCCTCCTTCAACTCTCAATCTCCTATCAACTTTATACGTCTCCAACGGCTGCCATATTCCAACATTCACAAATCAATCACACGAACATACTCATAGATCAACGATAAAAACAATATGGAACACAAAGTTCATTAATCTCACTATAACTTACGAAACATGAGCACACACCAAATCAGAGTTTCAGTTTAACAAAAACCTGAGAGACACGGCTAACATACGCTTCGAGTTCAGCACTAACCAATTTGCCAGACCTGAACAATATGGAACCAGCATGTGAATCTTGTTCATCACCATCGGATTCTTTATATGCTCATGTGCAGACCAACTTTTGGGTTCTTTTGAAATCCACCAATACCTACACAAATTTGTTGAAAAAAAACATCATCACACAACCGTCAATCCTATTTGAGATTAGAAATAAAATTTCACATACCATTTCAAGCCAAAAACTGTTTTTGTAGAATCATAACACAACACAATTATCCAAATAAGACATAAACTTGTAAATTTTTCTCAGTGAATTCAAATTATTCAGAAAAATTAACCTTTCAAACACTCTTAGACTCTGCTAAATCGACTCTATATACACGCAATCGAAAGCGAATTTGCCAAAATCGAGCAGATAGAAAAGGAGATTCGAGGTAAATGTCAAGCAATTTCTACTAATATTACACAAAAGAGGGACAATTCGTATAGGACCTAACCGAAGAAAATCTGACTTGTTTCTTCATTCCACGGAAATCGCTTGATTTGAATTCGTTTCTTATCGATTCTGGAGACAAAACATGAATAACTCTCCTTTTAAGATCAATAACTTCTTGTTAAGCTCCTCCATCGTCTCCGCTATGATATCTTTCAATTTCGCCTCTTTTATTGACATCATCACCACCGTTGCCGTCGAAGGTTTCCGAGACAACATACATCATCGCCGCTGGAACGCGAGAAGAATCCTGGTGCTGGATTCAGATACCATGAAACAAAGACGATGTTGAAGTTCCAGAAGCAGATCTCCGACTGAAAATCTTAGCAACCACCGCTTCTAAAACAGCTCTCCGTCGCTCTTTAACCTTGATCTCTCCACTTTTACTACTCGGAGTACTTTTCAGATCGAAAACAGAATCTCCATCATCGTCTTCGTCAACGTCGAAATTTGGATTCAGATCTGAAACGGAATCTCCATTGAAACAGAAGCTTGAAATCGAAATTTTTTAGGTTATGAATTTTTTCTCATTGAACATAAGGGTAGTTTAGTCGGTTTTAATTTATGGCATTTTTACAAATTTTTCTAAAAAATTCTACCATAAAAATAATACAAACAGTAACAAAAAAACTCAATTTAACAGTAGATGACTTTCCGCGTTATTTGTGG